GGTGACGTCTTATTGCATGCTTCCCTTTTTAATATGCGACATCTTGAGTAAATGGGATTATTTGCTTATTAGTCATGGTATTTACAACTTTTTCTGGTATTTTCAAAGTTTGAGTCCCATGATCTACCTAAAATCTAAAAAGAAATAGTATTAACTAAAAAGAAAATTTATGTAAATATCCATTTTAGTTTCCGTTATTACTAAAATATCGAATATTTTTTCGTTATTACTGATATATTTGTTTTGTGGATTTCATAACAATTTTTTTTAAAAAGACAAAACTACCCACTTTCGGTTTTTGAAAAACCAAAATTTTAAATTTTCTGTTTTTCCAAGAACCGAAAATTTTTCTCTCTTGTTGGTCCTCAACCGTATCTTTTTTTTTTTGTTAATAAAAGAGATGCCACTTTCCGTTGCCCAAAAGCTCCCAAAAACACAAATAAGCTTGTTCTTGTTCAACAAATTAAAACATTGTGTCCAAGGTCTTCTCCTCAAACCAAACTATTTCGGGTCTATGCTACTAAATTTTGTTTATCACTTTTTAGGTGTCTTATTTATTCTGCTGAAGATTGGGTTGGATGGGTTGCACACGAAACGCCGTGAGAACTTGCTGATGATAATCCCTTCCCTTTCTGTTGGTTTTGATACCTGCGCTCCGCTTCCTCACCACCATCAATATGATGCATTATGCACTTCAGTTGTTTGTTCTAATCTTCAAGAATCCTTTCGTTGTTCTTTAGCATCTGAGTGCTGGTGTGAATTTTTATTGGAGCTTTTGGGCAATATAAAGTGACATCTCTTCTAATAGCAAAAAAAAAAAAAAGAGAATACGTAGAGTACCCACAAGAGAGAAAAAATTTCAGTTCTTGAAAAATTGAAAATTTAAATTTTTTTGGTTTTTTTAAGAGGCAAAATTGACCTGTTTTTTAAAAATAAAAAATGGATAGTTTCATCTTTCCTAAAAAATTATTATGAAGTCCAAAAAAAACGGACATATTAGTAACAACAGAAAGTATTTGGTATTTTGATAATAACGAAAACTAAAACATATATTTATGTAGTGATAATGTAAGTTTTTTAAGCAGTGACAGTTCTACAAGCAAGGGCACAAATCATGAAAGTCTTGCAAGCTCGTAGGATGTAGGATGCATACACCTTAAAACTATCGATAATACCCTTTTTGTTTTTGCCTGAGCTCGAGCATGTGTTTTGAGAATGCCTCTTTTGAAGGTTCTTTTGAGGAGGCATTCAACGATGTGATTTGAGCATGTGTTTTGATAATGCCTTTTTGAAGGTCCTTTTGAAGAGGCATTCAATGACGTGATTTGAAAATGCCTCTTCAGGAGACCCTTTTGAAGAGGCATTCTAAAAATTTGTTATGCAAAAGAAAGAGGCCCTATGTATAGATGGACCACCATTCCGGATTAGGTTTTTGTTTCTTTAAGGTTTATCATAGCATCTAGATGTTCTATATGAAAAAAAAATTGAAAAATATGAAATTCTTTGACAAATAAAGGGCATGAGTTTAGAAACCAATTCAAAACAAATTTGGTAACCCCCCGGTAGAGTTATTGGGCTCTAATAGTTCTTTTGAGAACCCGTCCAACCCCGTTACTGGACGAAACTTGGGATATTAAAGCTATTTTTATTGTGAGTGTAATATCCATAAGGGATACCATGGTGTTGTTGATTATTCGGGTAGAAATGATATCTCGAAGGACTATTAATGGTTTAGCACAATACTCACTCCCCTTCATCTATTTTCCCGTCTTTTTTATGTTCAGTACAGTAAGACATTTCTGTGTAGTGATTTGAAATCTCATGTGTAGAAAATGCTGAAGCAGGGGCTATCTGATGATATCTGGGAGACAGAAAACTATTACCCCTTCTTTCATATTAAAAGGTACGAATAACCGGCGCACCTATGTACTGTTTTTTACGACCTTTTTTCAGTCCTGGCAACCTAATGAGGTAAGATGCTCCACCGTCAGTCTTGTGACGTATTCCAACTGACATTGTGCTCCTCTTTGGCTGGTTTCAGCTGTACAAGAACATGGATGATCTACTCAAGCAATGCCTCTGTGCAAAACTGGATGCACTAACATAGCTGTATCTTGGTAGGGTGAGAAATGGGCCCCTTGGCTCAGTCAGTCACAACTTGGAATGGGCTTAAGATATAGGCCCCCAGACCCCGTAGGCCCAGTTGCAACCCCTAAACACCAGGACACATTCTCTTCTCTAAATCTTAATATCTCCCATCTCACTAAAACCATTCTCCTAGCTGGGCTTATCCATGCATGCCTTATGCTGCCTTAAGCATAATAGCACATGAAAGCTTGACTTTGTCATCACAATAAAAAGATGAAAATATCCTCTTGAAGGATAAATAGTAAAGGCCTACTTTTTGTAAACCCTTAAAGATCATTCCACCATTGTCACAATCGTAGGGCCACCTATGTGATGAAGCTTCTCAGCCATAGAATCTTAAAAAGATGAGAACCTTTACAATCTTGCCTAACAAATGATAGCATTTCGAGTAACACGGTCAAGATGATATCTCTCAAGCTGCATTTGCCCCTTTCACGGTAGTGTCCTAGCTTCACAAAACAAAACTGCATTATGCGTCGCCATCTCCCATCCGTTGCCATTGTTTGAAGCAAGCGGCGTTTCACACTATGTATGACTATTGGTACATGCATACTCCCTTTCCTCTCTGTTTTTTGTTTCTATGTGGATGTTAATGGAAATTTCATTGATAGGAAAACGTGTGACAATAGGAAGTAACAGTAAAAGCAAAAGAATGTAAAGGGAGAGAAGGGGGAAGGAGAAGAAAAGGGGGAGAAAAAGATTAAGAGGAAGCTAGCCTAGCAAGACAATCAGCGTCTCCATTCTTTTTCTATTGATATTACACAATGAAAGTCTATTGTCAGGTAGTCAATTGAGGATTGGTGCACCATTTGATGACATTGTCAGAGTCACCCTCGATAATGATGCACTTGTGAACCTCCTGAAGCTTGAGAACTCCTTTTAACTTCTCTCAGTTCAGCCTCATTGATGCCACAAAAGTTGAGCTGACCGTAAAGATGATTTCCGGAAGAGTGCTCTTGAGAATGCCTCCAAATGCAGCTGCTTGTACTTATGGTCTAACACCATCATCAAAGTTCACTTGAGCCAGCCTAGTGGGGGGTGTCCTCTGAGAAGATTTGACAGCTTTCTTAGGTCGAATGAGAAGTAGGTCAGCAAAATGGGAAGAAAATAATTCTTTTAAGTAGGTCAGCAAAGTCAGAGAATTCTTTGGGGTAACTCTTAAAATTCAGGGAAGCATGAGCCCACTGAACTACCCATCTCATAATCCCGTGGGAATATTTGCAAAGTCATGGGAATTCCCCTCAAAGATCCTGGAATTACGCTCTTTCCAAAGCGACAACAACAAGGCAGCAACCAATATGTACCAAAGATGAATGCCTTTCCCCGAAAATGGAGGATTTAAGGATAACTGTAAAGAACTACTGGATGTTTTCAGGCATAATCCAATGCCAGTTAGAGATACTAGCAACCCAGTTCCAAAAGGGGACAATAGATGACTACGCATCTTGTTTGCAAAAGAAGAAAACATTTGCCACTATTTTCCCCCTCTTCCTCAACGGATCCACTCTAAGAATCTGGTTTTGTTCCAGAACCCATAGAAAGGCCCTAACTCTTCTAGGTGCTTTAATGGCCCAAACTTTAGTATTCCAGTTGATAGTTTCAGAGACTCTATCATTGCTAACCTCTTGATATAGGAACTTGAAGTAGCCGCAAGGAGTAAGTTCCCCAATTAAAGAATCTTGTCTGCCACGGAAGTAGACAAACATGGGTTCAATGACTTTCAATAATTGTGACTACCTCTCATAGATGGTGCCTCTTTAATTAAAAGGTGGTGGGAGAAAAGAGCACCAAAACGGATACAATCAAACAATTTTGCCAGTTGTAAGTTCCCATAATTTCTCAGCATGCTATGGTTTGACGTGCAACAAAAGCTAATCCCCCGTGTAAAAGCATCGAGACTCCGTCAGTCCAATGTCAGCAGACCGACTGTTCATCCATCTTGAAGATGGATGTAAAAAAAAGGGTGCTCTCACAAAGTACCAAAACGAACGGTCAAGAATTTTTCTTCAAAATATGTCATTTACTATTTTAAAATTCAATAAATTTTTTTTTTTTTTCGTATATGAATGATCTTTGTGTTGGAGATTACATATACCTATCGTATTAAATTCAAAATCTATCGCAAAACTAGATAATAGAGAGGACACATCTACGTATGAGTTGGCCGACTCATATAAACCGTGTCCTTCACGTAAACAACGTATTGATAGCAACTTCCTTCATATTGAGAATTTTCAAGGATCTCCAGTCTCAGCCTACTGAAATGTTTTCATTCGAAGGCCAACTCTCCTATTCACTTTAATAAAAAACTCAGAAACCCCCTTAATGTCCATTATATAACCAATTCAATGAAAAAACTTGCAAATTTAAACTCCTTAAGCAACAGTACCTGCTAATGCAATTGATGCAAAATGTGATTTTGACTAAAAAGACAGATGGAAGTCGCATTCCTCCGAAACCCTAAATAAAGGCCAAATTGAATGTTTTAGTAGGAATTAGAAAACAACCATCGAAACCTGAAGTTGACACATACAGTAGCGCAATAAAATAACATAGAGCAGCTCAATTCTATGTCTAAAAGTACATCTATGAAACTGATGTTCCGAAGACTTCATCCATCCTCAGTAAGAAATAACATCGAGCAGGTGCATACCATGTCTTGAGTTATAACAACCAAATTACATCTACAAAACCAGCCCAAATTCCATGTCTAAAAGTACAAATATGAAACTGATGTTCCGAATACTTTATCCAACCTCAGAAAGAAATAAAATGGAGCATGTCCATCCCATGTCTAGAGTTATAACTATTAAATTACATCTACAAAACTGTAAATGAACAACATGTCGTACAAAACATTAACTTTCCAGAGTATAACCATTGGAACTGAAACCAATATGCTCGCACAATAAAATAACATTTAGCAGCTCGACTCCATGTCTTAAATTACAACAACATAACCGTCATGTGCAATTTATCCAACCCCAAAAAGAAACGATATAGGGCAGCAATATTCTATGTCATAAATTATAACTATTAGATTACAACTACAAAGGAAAATTGCAGACAGGGCAACACAAACTTATCTGCTCCAGAGTTGGACAAAAACAAACTTTTTTTTTTGAAAGTTACGTAGGAATGGAACTTGAGACGTTAGGCTATGAAAACGCAGCCTCTACCGTCTTGACCCAAGCCCGGTTCTTATTGAAACTATTACATATTTCTTTTTCATAACAAAAAGAATAGCAATATTCAAAGGAGAAATAACTAGCAAGATTTAGTGAAAATCCAAAACCCCAGTAACTGTGATCGGTTGGTCGAGATCAATACGCGTGGCACGACCCTCAGAGACCAATTTAGGCAGCGTATTGGCATCCTTCGCTGCAGCTCCTGTGCCAGTCCACACTGTCAGATGTGGCCATTCATTCTTTGAACAGATAGTCTCACCCTCAACTGACCCGATATGAGCTTCAAAGGCTGCCAACTTATCTGAGAATAAGAATGCGGTGAGATCTGCAGACACTTTCTTATTATGATATTCCCCATAACTTGCAACGGCTGTGACTCCATGACTCTTCTTGTGAGCAAGAGTCACATGAGCTCTCTTCAGAGTGTCCTCCATGTTCTTGTCCTTGAGAAACTCCTTGGCTTTCACATATTTATCGGCCATCTAAGATAATCAGAAAGAACACCTATTTAGATAATGAACTCCTTGGCTCACATATATACATGGTGTTTTTTTTTTCTCTGAGCTTTAGTTGATAGGCACAAGTGATACAAACTATGGTAGGTGTGGGAATTGCATGTAAGGTCCCTCAAAAAAGAAACTTAAACATTTTTCATATACTTGCTGCTAAAGATAGAGTTTACCTTGTCTAATACGCATCTGATTTGCTCTACAGGTAGAGTAACAGCAGCATAAACAATAGTCCCAAACTTTCTTTTCTCAGTAGCAGGTGTCGTGTATTCACCTTTTGCAACAGCTCTTAATTGCTCCACTACTCTCTGGACCGCATAATCAAATGGGACCTGCAACAAATTATTGTTTACATTATGTCTAAGCGCTAACAGGAAGTTATTAAGCTTGGAACCCTGTGTGCAAGCTACACATGGATTAGTAGAAATACACATGAATGTGCAGGTTCACAGAGCAGTCGTAGGTGTGATCGTGCAAATTGAAAAAAATAAATCATCACACGTCAAAGGAAAGAGTTCCCAGGAACCAGAAAACCGAATGCTGACACAGTTGTAAAGCAACAAACCAAAGGGATGACACAAATGTAAAGCAACAAATCAAAGGGTTGATGGACACATATATTTGCAACCCATTGACAAACACAAATGTGCAAACTTCGAATGACTGCATCATAACAAGTGCCGATCAAGGTATACAAACACATGCCAATAGAGTGTTCTCTTTACAGGCCTGGCTGCCTGCTATTGTGGTAATTATCTACTGAAGAAGTTTGCAGTTTGCCAGTTCTTCTGAAATAATAAATCAATGTGCATGATTGAATATGATCTGAAAGAGGAAAATATCCAGTGCAATTAACTCCTCGACCGTACCTCCTTCCTTCCCCTCAACTCCAGCTCTTTCTCTGCCTTCAGCTCAGGGTCACCCCCCTTGGTGGACTCAAATTTCATCAACCAGATAGACAACGCCCAGGGCAACATCCCAATCCTCACAGTAATAGGTCTCAAGTTTGACGGCTTGCCAGAGGCCATTGAAACATTCTTCAAATTGAATGTGCAGACCAGGTTTGAAGTAAGCAGCAAGGGTAAACGTGAACTTTCAAACCTTCGTTTCCAGGTCAATTACGACTCCGGTACTCCTTCCTCATCTGGTGCCCCTCCTCAAGAGGTATCCTCGGGGTTCAGAACCCACAGGTGCTTGTCCAAATGATTCTCTGCCTCCCAGCCCCCCCAATGAAGCTCACAACATGGAACATCAGGGGGTCTGGGAGACCCCTCAAAAAACCAGCTTGGTTCACACCTTTTTCTCTAAACATTGCCCATCAATCCTCACTCTCATCGAAACTAAGCAAACTTCCCCACCCTGGCCCAAGTCCGATAGGCTTGGGGCTGCAAGCATTGCCAATGGGTGGCCCTCAATGCCGCTGGCGCCTCCAGTGGAATATAGGTCATTTGGGACCCTTCTTTTCATGCATTAGTCACCCTGTACATTGCCTCATCCACTGTAACCATCACCCTCTCTAGAATTTCTGATGGGCTCCGGTGGAAATTCACGGCAATCTATGGCCCTAACTCGAACTCAGCACAGACTCTCCTTTGGAATGATCTAGATACAGTTGCTGCCCTTCCCCGTACCTAGTGGTGCATAGGTGATGATTTTAATGTCACAAGGTGGTCCTTTGAAAGGAACTCATCTTCAAGGACCTCCCCAGCCATGATAGACTTCTCAGATGTCATCTCTAGAAATGACCTTATCGACATCCCTCTCCTAGGAGCAGTTTACACATGGTCCAATCACTCTTCTGCTCCGTCCAAATTGGATTGGTACCTCATCAGTCACGAATGGCATATCCCTGGCACCCACTCCTTAGCCATACCAAGCCTACCTTAGATCACAAGCGTATCCTCCTCAATACTCACCCAGCCTCGGTTGGACCCAGTCCTTTTCGCTTCGAGCTAGCTTGGCTCGAGGAGCAAGGCATAGCCTCCCGCATCTCCTCTTGGTGAGCCTCGTTCTCCAATAGAGTCCACAAATTTGTAGGTCATTGCTTTCAGAGGAAACTTCAGCTCCTCAGAACTTCCTCAAATCATGGTGTAGGCAGCTTCCTGGGAACTTTCATGCCCATAAAGAGTATTACCTTACACCCATCAACTTTTGGGACCTTACCGGAGAATCTCGCAACTCAGCCAGCAAGAAATCCTACTTCAGTCACAACTTAAACTAGACTACCATAATTCCGTAAGAAACGAAGATACATTCTGTGCCCAAAGATCTAAGATCAAATGGCTCAAATGTGAGGATCTTCATACGGCCTTCTTCCACAAAATAGCAAATTGCAGTAGGAGAGATAATACCATCTCTCTGCTTCTCGCCGATGAAGTTATCCACGACCAACCTCCTCATATTGAAAAAGCCATCATTGATTACTTCGCTTCACTCTTCAGAGCACCCATTAAACCCACCCCTAAGATGGCTGACCTCTCTTTCCAAATCATTCCCCTTGACTGTGCCCTCTGGTTGGAACGCTCATTCTCCGAAAGCGAAATTCTCACTGCCACAGTTCACCTTGGCCACAACGGAGCACTTGGCCCAGACGGCTATCCCATAGCCCTCTTCAAGGATATTGGGGAACCCCTTCACCCCAATATCATTGCCTTTTCCATAGCATGAATGCATTGCCCTCATTCCTAAATTAGAGGGGGCAGAAGAAGTCAAGGACTTCAGACCCATTAGCCTCATGAACAACTCCTACAAAATCTTAGCCAAAGTTCTGGCTTCTAGACTAAAGGAGGTGTTGGGATGAGTAATCTCTACCCAGCAAGGGGCTTTTGTGAAGGACCGCCGAATCTTGGATAATGCCCATGCACTTGTAGCCCATGAGTGCATTCGCTCTAGAGCCAAATCCAAGATTCAGGGCATCCTAATCAAATTCCATTGGGAAAAAGCCTATGATTATGTGCACTGAGAGGTCCTAGATGAAACGCTTCTCCGGATGCGCTTAGGGCTCGTTGGCGGAAATGGATCAAAGGGTGCATCTCTAACCCAATTTTCTCAGTTCTCATTAACGACACACCCAAGGGCTTCTTTCTGTCTTCTAGGGGCCTTAGACAAGAGGAACCCCTGTCCCCATTCCTTTTTGCCATTGTTGCAAAGGTCTTCAGCAGGTCTTTGGCAAGGTTGTATCAAGATGACCTCTTGGAGGGCTTTAGGTGCTTTAATGGAGGCCCGGTTATCTCCCATCTCCAGTACGTCATTTTTTGTGGGGCCTCCGACCAGTACGTGGATTCACTTCTCTTTTTCAAGGGTTTTAAATTGGCCACCAGACTTAGGGTTAACATGGCCAAATCGAGAATGATATGCATCTTCATGGATCCCTCAGCCACTCAAGTTTTTGCTGATAGATGGGGCTGTGCAGTGGACAATCTCCCCTCCACCTATCTGGGCTTCCTACTCTACCATGGCAAACCCAAACTCAGGCAATAGGGGCATATTGTCGACAAATTTGATTGGACCTTGTCCCTAGCGGGTAGAACAACCCTCATCAAGGCCACCCTTTCCAATCCTCTTCCACATGTCCGTTGTTGTTGCTTCTCGTCTGGAATGACTTATGCGCAATTTTTTGTGGTTTAGAGATAGCGAAACCAAGAGATACCACCTCATTTCTTGGACCACAGCTTACAAGCCCAAGTCTCAGAGGGGCAAGTGGTGGTCGCACTTGGCTACAGAGGATGGTCAGCTGTGGCAAACCGTGCTCCATCACAAATAACGGCTCCACAACCCTCCTTGGCTACCCCATCTCTCTTCCTACAACTCCTTCTCAGGAGCTTGGAGATCCTTCTTACACCGCCTTTCTCCCTTAAAGCCAACATTCGTTTCCATGCTAGAGTGGGCAACAACATAAATTTCTGGTCCAACCTTTGGATTGGCCACACTCCCTTGAGAGACCTTTTCCCAACCCTCTTTCACCTTGCTAGAGACACTAACATCTCAGTTGCCGATTCCTTCCAACCCATTGGAACCTCCTGCTCCTGGAACCCAAATTTCTAATGAGACCAATGTCTTCCTCCAAACCCAAACCCTTTAATACTCTGTTTACCCTTCCACACGGGCCAGAAAAAACCATCTGGTCCCTCGCCTCAGACGGCTCCTGCTCGGTTTCCTCCTTTCACCGAAAACTCCAATCCTCTACCTCTGCAAACCCCACCCACTCTATCGCCGCCAAAGGCCTGGCAGACCCTTATCACTCCTAAAATCCAATTTTTCTGCTGGAGCGCCCTGTCCGAAATGGCCTTGACTAGACCAACTTCGTAGAAGGGGTATGATCACCCCAAACCGCAGCATCATGTGCTTGGAAGATGAGGAATCCAATCCTCACCTTTTCCTTCATTGCAGGATTCCCCACACGCTTTGGAAGGATATTCTTCATCTCTTCAACTGGTCCTGGATTACCCCGAGGTCGGTACCCAACTGGTCAAGCTAGTGAAGTTCCTCCCATGGGCCTCCTTGGGTATCTTACTGTGGAAGGCCACCGAAGCAGCGACCCTGTGGGCCATATGGATAGAGCGTAACAACCGCATTTTTCAAGGCCACTTCTCTCATATCCACACTCTCAAGGACAGCATCAAATCGAAGATCATTTTTTGGGCCTCTAATCACAAGCACCTCAAGTATCTCCCGACCTCAGCCTTCCACCTCAATTGGCAGAATCTCCTATCCCTAAGCCACCATGACATCCCACGATAATCCCTTTTGAGGCCTCCAGAACAGGACAAAAACCAAGGTCAACTTTGATGGCTGCTTGCTTGGGCAACCTGGGTCCCGCTGGTATTGGAAGCATTTTCAGAGACCACCTACGCACCTCCCTTTTCTATTTCGCCAAATCCATTGATCGAGCCAACTCCACCACAACTGAAGCTGTCGCCCTCCTAGAAGGGTCTCAAACTGAGCACTCACCTAATTTGGAAGGAGAATCTAGGAATGTGATCCTTTGGGCCTGGGGGGGCAGGGGGCACACCTCCATGGAGACCAGCCCATGTCTTTGATGAGATTTGTGACATGTGCAAGTCTATTCCGGTTTCATGGACTCATACCTGGCAGGAGGTGAACCACGTCGTAGATGCTCTCGCTGGGGAAGGCGCAGCACTGACAGGAGACTAGTTTCCATCGCCCTTTTTAGGTTTCCAGCCTCTAGGATAACTTCTTGCTGTATATAATTTTTTGGCATCCATCACCTTTGCAATGTTTTTCTGATAGAGCTCCCGATGTTGTGGGAAGCCTATTTTTTGGCAAACTGTAGTACAATACAATAGTGAATACATTCAAAAAATATATATATAACGCAAATTTGAGAACATGTATTCTCTGTCCAGGTGGTGAAACATCAAACAGAAATGTTCTTATGAAACTAAACATAATATAGAATAAGATATATATATATCATAAAGAGCACCACTTGCAATATTTTGACGCAGACAGGGAAGACCTGAAACACAATGCTAATAAAAAAACATTGTTCACAGATTTCCTTGCACCAAAATAGGCCTTCTCTTACTAATATCTTCCACTTTTATCCCCTTAAAACCATAAAAGTAAGATTCTTGTAGAAGTACACCAATGCAACCTGCTGCAAACAATAACAAAAATTCATCATTTCCATGAGATAATAGTTCGTTCCAGCATCTTCTGTAGCAGATTTCCTAAGTCTGTAATCAACTCATGATCTGGAAAGACACATAACTCGCGTACTTTCTTCTTTTTGGTATACAATGAGGGACATGGGAGGCCATAAGTAGCTTGTGGGTAAAATATCCAAGCACAAATACTTGGATACATCTAATATATGCCTAAAATATTTGTATCTGTATCTGGCCATATTAGATGGAAAGCTACCCTTCAGAGCCATTAAATATCCTCAGAAACCAAATTAACACGACATTCGCTACTAATCCTGCCAGCGATCTGACTGAAATTTGGTCAAAGAGTGAGAAACATAACAAACAAGTAGAATACCGATAGTAATTCAAATGACAGCTAGGGATTACTTGAAATAGATACCTGAGTACAAAATCAACAATGTCAAATAAGTCATAGTATTAAGGTTCAAAGAATCTATTGCCTTAGATTGTTCCTTCTATGAGCCAGCCTAAGGTTTTGTGTCCACATAACCCACAGCCCAGGGCATGACTCATATAGTGGTCGCAGGTTGGGAATGTGAGCCCTAATTTGGGACTAACACCTCATGGATTAGCCCTTTAGGACTATTATTTGAATGTTTGGACTCAACTCGGGACTTGGCCTGGTCCCATGCAAAGTCCTGAGTCCTTTCAAAACCCAAGGTCCAATGGTACGACTCAGCCAAGTTTTGTGAAATCAAGACTCATTGGACTTCTGAGTAGAGAGGGCAAGCATCGGGCAGACTCAACAAGTTCCACATCACTGTTTGGGACCATCTCCTTGATGTACTGTTATGGTTATCACCTCATCTGAACAATACTCTCATCACATATTTTTCACGGAACTTGTTAATTGTTCCACAAATGCATATCATTGCAGATGAATACATATACACCACAAGTTGTACATCTCTTATCTTTGCTGTGAGCCTGTGAAAAAATAGATCATCAGGTTCTTTCTTACTGTTTATAAATAAAATACTTTAGTGCATTCAAAAATTTCAGAATTGTCCATCACTCTCAGGTTCACTGCACATGATACACCATATTCATCTATACTGGAAGAAAAATGGATCACAAAGTTCTTTCCTACAGCCTCTAAAAAATAAAGGAAAAACTTTATATAGAGCCGAGGCTCTAAACAATCAAATTAGAGCCTACCTCAAAAACTTCATTAGAAGAGGTTCTTATGATGCCCAAATATCCTCAAGTTGATCATCTCGACATCAAGATGCATCGACATGAGAAAAAAGTGGATTTCAAGTTCTGGAAATAATGTATTTGGTAACACATTTTTGGACCGTCACTTTTCAAGATTTTCAAGTTTTCATAGATATGTCGATCTACACCATTTTTGTAGCATTAAAATTTATAAATAAAGACAAAAATATATTTAAAGGCGATCAAAGATTTCCAGTATTGAAACCACATTTATCGACACTATTTGAAGGTAGGCTCTAATTTGATTGTTTAAAGCTTACGCTCCATACAAACCGCACCCAAAAATAAAAGGATAAGCTTTGTAGAAGGTACCCACCTTATACTAACTATACAAGTAAGGCGCGCCTCTACATTTTGCCGGAAGATATAATTCCAGTATCGTAAAGTTTACGATGGCTTGCAAATCAACGTTTAACCCTAATTATGAAATTTAAAATTCTAAAAATGGTGCAGATCGAGCAGATCTATAAATACTTGAAATTCTTAAAAATAGATAGTTCAGATAACTTGTTAAAAGATACATTATTTTTAGGGCTTCAATTTTTTTCTTTATATCCATATATCTCAAGGTCGAGACGATCAATTGGAAGGTTTTCCAGCTTCAGAATACTCTTTTCTACTAGATTCTTGCGATGCACCTTACTTCTATAGTATAAGGTTGCAACCTTATATAATTTTTTTGCAAAATAAAAACTTTTAAGGGTATCTAAACTGTGCTATGTGACGAAGTCAATATGGAGATGGATGCATTTACATGATATTGGGTTTTAGAATTTGTCAAGAAAACTTCTTTAGCCAAGATGATTCATCATGATTTTCTTAATCTAGTAAAGAGAGATGATCATAGAGCCAAAAAGTTGTTCACTATTTTTCAGGCCAATTGGGGATATGCTTGACATCTTGGATATTGGAAAACACACATGAGAATTTGCTTGCATCTATTTATTTGGTTTCGGAAGAATACTCTCTATACTTGGCGTTAGAAAGGCACTTGGTATCCAGTCAAATTAAAGCAAATGAGAAGGAACCAACAAACAAAACAAAACTACAAATCCGAATGGACATAGTAGACAGTATTGTGAGTAGAGTAATGATCCTATGAGACCCTCCCACACCCATGTGTGTAGGACCTTAAAGGATCACCATTAAATTTGGCACAGATCACTAAAAAGTCAAGTCCCACACCCATGTCATAACATTTCTAGAGATCTCTGCCAAATTTAATGATGATACTTTGGGGTCCTATACATACGGGTGTGGGAGGGTCTCATAGGATAATTACTCTTGTGAGTATATAGAGCCGAAGAGCTTCTTGGAAGAGTTACCAGCCAGGCTCACCTCATTTCATGCATTAAAGTAGCAAGCTGATTGGAATTAGAACTCCACCAGCTTCAAAGGAAATAACTGAATTCGCTTATAAATGGTAGGCAAAATAGGGTAGCCCAAAACATCAACATCATCCAAGCCTTATCTCAATTATTTGGGGTGGCTACATGAATATTGTTCCTCCATCCTTCAGAATTTATGATATGACGTGGCAAAATTTTACATTGGCTGTGCACCTAACACAACCCACCTCCTTTACCGGGCTTAGGAAAGGTTAAGGAAAATTTTAAAGTCTTCACCCTTATTAAACAATAAAACAAAGTTCCACATTTCAACCAAAACATCCGCTCCTACAAATTTGTCCCACCACCAGACTAAAGGTTGCATGAGAGCCATTTAATGGAACGAAACCAAACATCTTCAAGATGATATCAAAAGATCGCTAAACTTGCATAGATGATCATCTCACAAATCTTACATAGAGCCCATATTACACCCAAATGAATCTTATATAGAACCCATATGTTTCATTGAAATAAGCAATTATCTCACATGAGTTCCACTACCAGTTAGTACACATACTGGTATGATAACCTAAACAAGATGGAGCAAATACTACTCATGTACCACGGACAAACGTTGCTACTAAATATGTCCAATAAGTTTGAAACACCCACTCTATTAGCATGCAACAAGTAACAAGGCTCATAACATAAAAGAAAATTCCAAAAGAGATTGACAAAACAAAAACCTGAAGAGAGGAATGAAAAAATCCAAACCTGAATAGAGGTGAGATATTCTGAATTTACAAAGAGTATTTCCCGCAATCGCTTCTCCCATTGAGACCATTCCTTAGCATATGATCCTTTCGTAGAGTCCACTCTGAAAAGAAAGTCAATTGAAAGTTTTGACAAGCTAATCTACATAATTTTGTTAATAAGCAAGATAAGGTAACAGGTAGCCAGGTACATGCTGCACATTTATCCCAAAATTCATATATCATGCACATCATCCTTTATTCTTGTCAAATGGTTTAAAATGTTAACATAACCCGAAATACAAAGGTATACATAAATAAGGCATGTTAACAATACTTTACAAGAACCCCTTGAGCTAAATCCTATAAATTATGGCTGTAAAATGAGAAAGGGCATTTATGAAATCCTATATGTCAACAATACTACTTTAGTTTCCCTTCCAAATATTCCATGCTATCAAAAAGGGCATTTTTGTCATCCAAAAGGGTATAATTGATAGTTTTATTAAAAGAATGATACAAACCAAGTTTAGGAGATGGCTTGGTTCAAACCTATTTTTAGTTCATTTTTTAATTTAAACCGAGAAGCTTGAATAGAATTTTTTTTATTGTTTAATTTGGGTTAATATCATAGGTGGACTAGAATGGCATTTCATTTAATCTCTTGGATAGGATGTAGGTCGCAAAAGAGAAAGGGCTTTGAACTCTGCTTGATATGGCATCAGTTTTTAGGTGGGGTCCTTTTTCTCAAGATGGGATTGACATTGGTTTTCAAAAATATGGGAATTTGGTGAAGGAAGAGAGGAGAGTCCTTAGTGGGACAAAAGAGAAGTACGTGGATTTCTACCTAGACCGAGACTGCATAGACAAGAGAAGATGGAAGGGAAAGTTTTTAGGTATTTTATTTTCTTCTATTTTCTTTTTTGATGTATAAAAGGGTGGAACATACTCTTATAAAGAAGATGATATATTTTATATGAGTTTTTTCTCTTTTTGCTTTTCTTTTTTTTTTTTAAAGGGAAGGAAGAGTACTTCTTTAGAGAAATATCGAGCCTCTTCATCATTTTGGCTTGATTTACAACCACTTGATCTTCTCTCGTAGTGTTGCTCAAGTTGCTTGTTTAAGGATCGAAAAGAGGATGGATTTGGCTTCCCGCCTTCCTTTCGCATCAAGTGGTATGAAAGCACAATTTGAGGACAGTATGATGGCAGGTCATGGATTTCAAGGCCATTGAAATTCCGAGTTGGACCGGATGATTGAGTGACTCAAAAACATGATAAAGACGGTTGCATGGTTGTTGAAAGGGACAACTGCATGCCCCAAATGAAGATGTTCTCACAATGTTGGATTCAAATTGTTTGACACGAATCTGGGTCCAAATTTGAGTCAGAGTGGGCTAATTATATGTCCAATCATCCAGTTTTGTTCGAAGCACCACGGCATCAGCCGGAACACAAATGTAATGGGGAGTCGGGGATCCAACCACCCCCAGGCAGACATAACCAGCATAGGGGAACAGATAGGGAGGAAACGCATAATCGGTGTAGTAATAAGTAAAGATAAGAGCTAAGAGATTCAGAGATTCAGAGATTCAGGTATTAAAGTTGATGACCCTGAGTTCTATGAAAATCTTCCCTTGAAGAGAATTTGGACTGGTTGAGAACAGTTTATCGCTTCTTTGATTGGAAAGACTTGTTCATTTCAAAGAAAGTCAAACTTGTGGCTCCTACATTTAGGGGACTTACAGTAGTGTGGTGGAAGCGAGTTCAAAACGTAGGGCTTTGAAATGGGTAAAGATAAAATCAGATCATGGGCCAAGATGTATTGCGCGGGCGATTTCTCCGGCCATGCTATACACAGATTTTGTACCAATAGTTTCACTAGTTCTATCAAGGTATGAAATCAGTTTGGAATTACACAAAAAAGTACTAACACTTATCCCTGCATTATGGGTTAATGGAGGCCAAAAACCAAAAGGTGGCGCATTATTTTTCACAGTTGTGAAGGTCTATCCAAGTTGAACTTGAACTACATATGCCTCGGTTGGAGACAGCATGTCAAACTGCCATGAAGGTGGAGGAAGGACAGAAAAGGGGGTAACCACAGGTCAAACCCCCACCAGAGCAAGATCATCACAAAGTTGGAGGCCTTTGCCTCCAACCCGGGGAGTTCCAACAACCAACATGGCTCAACTACTGGAACCCAAGATTGAACCTGAGGCCAAGAGCCTGCTAGCCCAAGGTGTTTCAGGTGCAATGAGGTGGGACATCAAGCTAAAGAGTGTCTGTTGAATGTAGCCCAACACCACACCACAATGGGTCGACCATGAAGAACACCCAGTGATTACGGCTGAAAACAACGCTGAGATTAGTGATTGAGTGGATGAAGTGGTGGCAGATCAAGACGAGACTTCGTTGGTTAGATGTGTTCTCTCGTGCTAAGAAGCCTGGCTGAGAACTACCTCAATTCGCACCCCATGTATATGTAACATGAAGCGAGGGGAGATCTGGGATAGGAAGCAAGAACGAGGGAGCGAGGGAGCCTTAAAGATCTGAAGTTGAGGGTACAAGTTTTGTACATTGCAAGGTCACGGGAGCACATTCCTTTAATTAAATCTGATCGCGGTCCGTTGAGCTTAGGATTGAGGCTCCCAAAGATCACTTATCCACAGTATTTTGGATTGGAAGCGACTTCTATTGAACAATTTTTTAAGCAAGTTTCACTCTAAAAATTTACTCATGTGGGTCCATTACAAAAATTGCACACCTTACTACATTCGTCTGCCTACGTACATACATGACCTCATTTTTGGCACCAATCGGTTGGATTAGATGGTTCCCCCTCGAGTATCGATTGATGATTAGATTTAAGAATGATGTGATAGATTGTTTTCAAAAAAGAAATGTTATGATAGATAAGCTTCCCTTTGGGGAAAAAAAAAACAAAAAAGAGAAATGAAAGACATTGCCATATTCTCAATAGCTTGCCTCCAACAAAGATTCTCGGAGGGGGGGCCTCAAGGACATATCAATGATAGAGACTTCACATTTCCACGCATATATCTTCTTCCATCATCCATTAGGCAACCCCATGAGTGGCTTAATTTGGGAGACCAACACACAAGTGATACAAATCCTTCGAGAGGTAGACACCCAATGAACTAGTTACAAACCACGATTCACAAGGTGTGTAAAGTTGTAAACTATGAAATATATATAAGAATATTAGGGCCAGTAGAAAATTTTTAGCCCATAAAAATATTGGTGATCCATGTTCCATTGTTTATGAACCTAAAAATGCATTGGTAAAAACTTGCTCCCAAAAAGCAACTCAATTATCTTTTCTATCTCCTTCCTTCTCTCTCTCACCATCTCTTATTACCTTTCTTTGAAACTAGTTACAAGACATGATTCACAATGTGCGTAAAGTTGTAAATTGTTAAATATATAAGTTGTAAACTGTTAAATATATAGGATATTAGGACCTTTAGAAAATTTGTAGGCCATAAAAAAATTGGAGATCCATGCTCCATTGTTTATGAACCTAAAAATACGTTGGTAAAAACTCACTCCCAAAATAGAAGATATCAAGATACTCAATTCCAAGAGGGTGGAATCGGGGATCCAATTACTCATGGAACCATGATTTTTGAGCATACCAATCTTGATCCCATTAATCCAAGATCTAGTTCTTCGATTTCTCAGATCGAGATCCCTAAATCATGAAAACGCCTAGAATCGAGATCCCGTGTCTCAGAGCATAGAATTGAGATTCCAAAGTAGGAGCAACACCTCCATAGAGGATCCCGAATATCCCCGTAACAATATGTGTATTGTGCAACTTCATCATCAACAATGGTAGTCGCAAGAATACGATCTCTCAGGAGATGGTAAAGAAGTTACATCTCAAGGTGGGAAAGCATCCAAATCTTTAAGGTTACATGGTTTAAACACAAGACTAGGTCTATGTTACTTCTCTTGATAAAGTTTTTTTTTAATATGTTTCTCTTGATTAAATTTTCTTATTGGCAATTGCAGAACATTTTAAGTGATGGCAGATAGGTTACATCTCAAGATAGGAAAGTATCCACATCCTTACAAGGTTGCATGGTTCAAAGAAGGGCCCAAGGTATATGTTACTTCTCGATGCTTAATTAAGTTTTCTATTGCTACGTTTTATAAAGATAAGGTTTCGGTGTGATATCGCACCAATGGATGCTAGCCACATACTCTTTAGGGCCAGAAGTGTGATAAGCAAATGATCTATAATAGTGAATATAAACACTTGTACCTTTTGGAAGGATGGCCATAAGGTAGTATTATTGCCCTTGTGTGAGGAGGCTCCACCCAAGTCTTCCAAGAGGAGTGTGTGACTCTTCTCTTGATGGTTTATGGAGGAGAGTGGAGAAAAGGCAGATCTATGCACCTGTGGAATGGGCTTGGGGCAACCTGTTTCAATGCCTAGATCCCTTGGACCATTTTCTTTGGAGTTTAAGGACCTTATTCCAACCTATGAGGAATATACAGCATTTTATAAACCTCATACCTAGGTTTACCTAGCCTACCTACTTATAGAATGAGTCCTGAAGAGCATTATGAGCTTCAGAGGTAGGTGGATGAATTGTTGGCAAAGGGGCTCATAGGGTTAGCATGAGTCCACATGCTGTACCAGCTTCGCTTACCCCAAAAATGAGGATTCAGATTTCAATCCTCAGACATGAAAGAAGCTCTAGTGTTTGATGAAAATGTTAGTGATCCAAACAACTCAAATTTGCTAGTGATCCATGCTCCATGAATCTAGATATGTGCTGTTGATCTTTGGAACCAATGTGAAAGATCGAACTTACGGAGCTGGAGACACCACCTTCTTCTGTGATCCCAACAACTATGGTTGTGTCTTCAGGTGGGGTGAAGGTTGATCATGAGAAGGATGGCGCCAAAGTGAAAAATCAGTGTCAAAGGGATGCATAGTTTGTAGGGACTTGCTAATTTCCATAGGAGATTCATTAGAAGTTTCAGCACTATCATGGCCCCAATCACCAAGTGCTTGAAATGTGAAGCTCTTCATTGGATCTCAGCAACAAGTAAAGCCTTTGACACTTTCATAGGAGATTCATTAGAAGTT